GATCAGGCTTGAGCTGGGTGCAGAGGTGGAAGGAGAGGCAGGGAAAGCCCCTGGGGTTGTCGGCTAAGTCACCAGTGCAGTTACAAGGAAGGGAGTTACAGTGCAGTTACAAGGAGCCTTTGGGAGTGAGGACGGCAACTTAATGCAGGAAAAGTGGAAGCGAGTTTGTTGTAGCCGTCCTCTGAAGTGAGCCCACTTAGTGTGGGGAGAAGGCATCGCCTGGGCTCAGGGCGGTGCTTGTGGGCTTGGGAGGGACCGCTTCCTGTTCAGAGGGGCCGGTGCTGAGAGGTCCTGGAGTAGGGGCGAGGGATGCCCGATGCCAGCTGTGCCTCCCAGAGCTCAGGTTGTGGTCCTCTCCGCTGGCTCCCACTCCTCACCTGTTGGTGGCACGGACAGTGAGTTCCAGCAGCTGGAGCCAGGTTTCTCTCACTTCCCACGTCTCTTCTACATCTACCTCGAACCCAGAGGTCTCTTTTCTCACTTGTCCTGGCCTTTGTCTCCTTTTCCGGGCCCCTCTTGTTTAGCTTTCAGTCCTGGCTTCAATGTCACTGCCTTAGAGGGACCTCTCTGATCGCCCCTCGAAAAGGCTGTCCTGCCGTGGTGGGGTCCTGCGGCATCCTCACCACCACCATCCGTCACAATTTCCGTATCTCTGGGCTTTCCCAGCTCCGGCAGGGGCTTCCTCTGGTCCTGAACTCCTCCTTCCCCAGACTTCCCTCATGCGGACTGGTCTCTGAGAACCGCCAAGCGGGAGGGACTTGCTGTCCATCATGCCTCGTGACTGGTGCTGCATCCTCATGGCTCAGTTTATTGTAAGGGGAGATGGGCCTGGCATTGTGTGTGTGGAATTGCATCCCCCAGGAGGTTATGTTCAAGTCTGCACCCCCAATACCTGCAAATGTGACTTTATTTAGAAATAGTCTTTGCAGATGCTATTGTAATTTTTTTTTTTTTTTTTTTGAGATGGAGTCTCACTCTGTTGCCCAAGCTGGAGTGCAGTGGCATGATCTCAGCTCACTGCAACTTCCACCTCCTGGGTTCAAGCAATTCTCCTGCCTCAGCCTCTCAAGTAGCTGGGACCACAGGCATGTGCCACCACGCCCATCTAATTTTTTGTATTTTTAGTAGAGACAGGATTTCACCATGTTAGCCAGGATGGTCTCGATCTCCTGACCTCGTGATTTGCCTGCCTCGGCTTCCCTGTGCTGGGATTACAGGCATGAGCCACCACGCCTGGCCAGATGCTATTGTAATTAATGTAAATTAAGATGAAGTCATATGATTAGAGTGGGCTCTCACCCAATTATTGGTGTCCTTATAACAAGAGATAGTGACACAGAGACTCTATGGCAACGGGAAGAAGGCCGCATGGTGACAGGCAGAGATCGCAGTGGTACAGCTACAAGCCAGGAAATGCCGAGGACTCCTGGAGCCGCTGGAAACTGGAGAGAGGCTGGAACCGGTTCCCCTCAGCCTCCAGAAGGAGGCAGCTGTTGATACCTCCGGTTTGGGCTTCTGGCCTCCAGAACTCTGAGAGTAAACTTTTGTTATTTGAAGCCCGTCAGTTACGGGAGATTGGTATAATGGCCCTGCTGGCACCTTGGAAGCCAACACACGTGTCGGTGACGACCTGAGTAACGCCTGCCTTCCTGCGGGAAATGCGTGTTCCACAGGAGGGTCTCCGCCCCTCCCTGCGCAGCACTCACAATCCCTGTCTCCTGGGCTCCCGGCAGGGAGCTGCTGTTGGCAGCAGACGTGGTCTCTCCTGTGGTGCATGTGCCTCTCGCGTGCCAGAGCTGCTGCTTGGACACCGCTAGGTGTTCCGCATTGGCGCTGCTGGACACTTGCCCTGGCTGCTGCTTTGCGAGCACACTTTATCTGATTTTTTTTTTTTTTTTTAAACGGAGTCTTACTCTGTCACCATGCTGGCGTGCAGTAGTGTGATTTCGGCTCACTGCAACCTCCGCCCCCCGGGTTCAAGTGATTCTCCTGCCTCATCCTCCTGAGTAGCTGGGACTACAGGTACGTGTCATCACACCCAGCTAACTTTTTTTTTTTTTTTGAGACGGAGTCTTGCTCTGTCGCCCAGGCTGGAGTGCAGTGGCGCGATCTCAGCTCACTGCAAGCTCCGCCTCCCGGGCTCACGCCATTCTCCTGCCTCAGCCTAGTAACTGGGACTACAGGCGCCTGCTGCTGCGCCTGGCTAATTTTTTTTTTTAATTTCTAATAGAGACAGGGTTTCACCGTGGTCTCGATCTCCTGACCTCGTGATCCGCCCGCCTCGGCCTCTGAAAGTGCTGGGATGCCAGGCGTGAGCCACCGCGCCCGGCCGAGAGTGTGACTCTTGCACACACGTTTCTCTATTGAAGGCATGCAGACCCTCCAGGCGTTCACATCTCATGTGACCACAGGCAGTAGTCACAGCCAGGAGTGTGGCGTGGTGCTGGCATCTGACGGTGCTCAGGCAGATTTGGGACATGTCCTCCCTGCCCTTTTTCCGACCCAGGGTCACGTGCTGCACTGGGACCCCCCCCCCCCCCCCCCCGTCTGGGCCGGGCCTCGCTGAGCTCTTTCCTCACCCAATGCTTCTGAAGGTTTCTGGCTGATCATTTTGTAGAGTTGGCCTGTTTTGAGATTGTCTGACATTTCTTCAGAATTAAATAATCAGGTTCCAGGCCAGGCGTGGTGGTGATACATGCCTGTAATCCCAGCACTGTGGGAGGCTGAGGTGGGCGGATCACCTGAGATCAGGAGTTTGAGACCAGCCTGGCCAACATGGCAAAACCCTGTCTGTACTACAAATACAAAAACTAGCCGGGTGTGGTGGCGTGTGCCTGTAATCCCAGCTACTTGGGTGGCTGAGGCAGGAGAATCGCTTGAACTCAGGAGGCGGAGGCTGCAGTGAGCTGAGATTGCACCACTGCACTCCAGCCTGGGCGACAGAGAAAGACTCTGTCTCAAAAAAAAAGAAAAGGGGAAATTCAGGTTCCTGTGTTTGCGTCCTGGGTGCCCTGCAGGAGGCTCTTGGGGTGTTCACATTGATCGCTGGGTTCAGGTGCCTGCCGGGTACCCCTGCTGTTACTGTTTTTCCTTGGTGACTGCCGAGCATCTTTTGGGGGTCACTTTGAGGCTGTGAGCTCTGTTTCTCACCATACGTTCTTTGCAGGTCCAGCATCATGGATGCATCTTGCCTGAGACTGTTGTGTTGGGATGTTGATCGAGTGATGGTTTTAAAGCACTTCCCTCATTCTCTCTGCACTCACTGGTGGCTCCCCACCGCCCCATGAGGAGGTGCTTTCCCGCCACCCCCACCTCACCTGGGTCTGTGGATTCCTGGGTTCCTGATTCCTGGGTTTGTGGGTTCCTGGGTCCATGGATCTGTGGGTTCCTGGGTTTGTGGGTCCATGGGTTTGTGGGTTCCTGGGACCTTGGGTTCCTGGGTTCCTGGGTTTGTGGGTCCATGGGTTTGTGGGTTCCTGGATCTGTGGGTTCCTGGGTCTGTGGGTTCCTGGGTCTGTGGGTTTCTGAGTCCATGGGTTCCGGGGTTCTTGGGTGCCTGGGTCCCTGGGTCTGTGGGTTCCTAGGTTCGTGAGTTCTTGGGTTCGTGGGTTCATGGATCTGTGGGCTCATGGGTTCGTGAGTCTGTGGGTTCATGAGTTCCTGGGTTCCTGAGTCTGTGGGTTCCTGGGTCTGTGGGTTCCTGGGTTTGTGGATTCCTAGGTTCGTGGGTTCTGCATCCATGGGTCTGTGGGTCTGTGGGTTCCTGGGTTTGTGGATTCCTAGGTTCATGGGTTCTGGGTCCGTGGGTTCATGGGTTCCTAGGTTCATGGGTTCCTAGGTTCCTAGGTTCATGGGTTCCTGGGTTCCTGTGTTCGCTGCCGCTTGCTTTGCTCTGTGTTACCGGCAGGCTACTGGGGAGTCATCCTCACTTCCTGCATCTCGACAGGCTCCAGCTCTTTTCCCTGCCCCAGCCCTGAAATCAGCCATTTCTATACAGACTGTGAAGCCTGTTTTTAAAATGAAATCCTAGTTATTATTTTTTCAAGTTATAGTGTGGCTGCTGTCCTGTTTCTAAGGTTGTGTGTGTGCTTTGTGCAACTAGGAGGGTTCAGAATGTGGGTGTGCAGCCCCTCATGGTGCATGGTGTGAAGGGAGCTGGCCCTCGCCCTGCAGGAATGGTTGGTGGGATTAGGGAGGGAGGCTGGCTTGTCAGCCATAGAGCCCCGTCCTGTGAGGGCTCTGACGCTGAGACAGAGGTGAGTCCGGGCTGTGGCTGTCAGCTGGGGGCTCTGAGCTGTGTGTGTTTGGTAACTAGGAGGGTTCAGAATGTGGTGTGCAGCCCTCGCAGTGCATGGTGTATGAGCTGGCCCGCCCCTGCGTGGGAATGGTTGGTGGATTAGGAGGAGGCTGGCTTGTCAGCCATAGAGCCCCGTCTCTGTGAGGGCTTGACGCTGAGACAGAGGTGAGTCCGGGCTGTGGCTGCTGGGCTGGGGGCTCTGAGCTGGGACAGAGGTGAGTCCGGCCGTGGCTGTCAGCTGGGGGCTCTGAGCTGGGACAGAGGTGAGTCCAGGCCGTGGCTGTGAACTGGGGGCTCTGAGGCTAGGACAGAGGTGAGTCTGGGCCGTGGTATGAGCTGGGGGCTCTGAGCTGGGACAGAGGTGAGTCCGGGCCGTGGCGGTGAACTGGGGCTCTTGAGCTGGGACAGAGGTGAGTCCGGGCCGTGGCTGTGAACTGGGGGCTCTGAGCTGGGACAGAGGTGAGTCCGGCTGTGGCTAGAACTGGGGCTCTGAGGCTAGGACAGAGGTGAGTCCGGCTGTGGCTGTGAAGTAGGGGCTCTGAGCTGACAGAGGTGAGTCCGGGGGCCGTGGGCTGTGAACTGGGGGCTCTGAGCTGGGATAGAGGTGAGTTCAGGCTGTGGCGGTGAACTGGGGGCTCTGAGGCTAGGACAGAGGTGAGTCCGGCTGTGGCCAGAAGTAGGGGCTCTGAGCTGGGACAGGGAGTCCGCCGTGGCTGGTGAACTGGGGGCTCTGAGCTGGGACAGAGGTGAGTCCGGGCTGTGGCGGTGAACTGGGGGCTCTGAGGCTGGGACAGAGGTGAGTCCGGGCTGTGGCTGTGAAGTAGGGGCTCTGAGGCTAGGATAGAGGTGAGTCTGGGCCGTGGTGTGAGCTGGGGGCACTGAGCTGGGACAGAGGTGAGTCTGGGCCGTGGTGTGAGCTGGCACCCCAGTTGCTGGTGGCTTTCCCCAGCTGACATTGACCAGCATTGGGTGTGCAGTGTGACTGGCTCTGATTTGTGCTGCTTAGTTTGAGACAATTTGAATGGAGCCACTGCTGCAGAGAGACCTCCTTCTGAAGCATCACAGTGGGCCCGGCTGACCCTGACCCAGCGCAGGACACCCCTCTTGGAGTCTGGGGCTCTTGGCTGTGGGCTGGAGATGACAGTGGTGGCTGCCAAGGGTGGTGGGAGTGGTCAGCGCCGAGCGTGTGATTTCAGACCCAGTGAGCCAGATGGGCACAGCCTTTAGCTGGTGTGTTGTGTCCCCTGGCCTGGAACAGCCCCATGGGTGGGTGGCACCTATCAGGACCTGTGCACAGACCCTGCCTGGATTTGGTCTGCCCCGTCTCCTGGACCTGGCAGCAACAGGGCTGTGCCTGGTGACGGGAAGGCTCCGAGCCAGGCCGGGTGGCCCACTGTGCGCGTAGCTGCTGTGTTGGTGGCGCCTTTGCCCTGGCCCTCGTTCAGGAAGATGCTGGCTTTTGGGCTCTAGGGAAGTGCCTATTGGTTTCTGTTGAGAGCAGTTGTATGTGCACATTTTAAGTGTGGAACGCAGGTATTGAACCGTGTTGAAACCTTTCCAGCATTGGCAGAAGTGTGCGTGTGAGTCTCCTTTGCCCTCTTACTTTACTGGCAGGTGGTGTGGCCTGAGTGGCCGGCGGTCCTTCCGATGGGGCGGCCCACGTGCCTCCCACGTGCCAGGATTTTGGGGCAGATGCTTGTGAACGCTGCTGCCTATGGGTTACCTTCATTGGTGGAGGTGAGGCCTCAGCTTTGGCGTCCTGTCCATCCTTAATCCTTGCCTAGGAGCAGTCTGTGGGCCCCAGAAGACTGGCCGGAAGCTGGAGCTGGGCGGCAGCTGAGGACGCGCACCTTGGAGGTTGTGTGGAGGTTCCATCACTGCTGTCTTAATTCCCAGGCACTCTTCTTTTTCTCTGGAAGTTCCTTTTTAAGGGTGTCCTGGTCTTCATGGAGGTGCTGTGTCACTCCGAGGGCTGAGGGCTGCTGCTGAGGAAGTCCTTACCCTCCCACCTAGGGCTCTTCTCCAAGTTGCTGGTTTTGCTTGTTTGCCGCTTGTCTGTTTTGGCCTTTGTTGGGTCTGAACTAGGTGGCCTTGGCAGCTCCTCACACCCAACAGTGGGAGCCTGAGAAGGGTCAAAGCTGGGGCAGGTTGGGGACACGCTGGGCGCAGGACCACCTTGCTGGGCACTTCGGCCCGTTGGTGTCTGTTGGGAGCAGCCCTGGGGCAGCCCCGCAGCCTCTGCCGGCAGTACAGACAGAGCTGCCCATTCCTGGGGCTGGAGAGCTCAGGGCCTGAAAGACCCCCCGAGCCCTCGCCCTTCCTCTGCCGGCCCCTTGCTGTCAGCAGACCAGGTGCAGACCCTGGTAGGCTTCCTTTGCCCCAGCTTCAGTGCAGAGCGCTTGCCCAGCTGGCTGGCGGGAGTGGGAGGGGTGTTTGGCCACTTGGAGCAGAAGGGGGTGGGTAGTCCGGGTTTCTGCATTCCTGGCTTGATACTGGCTTTCCAGCAGCTTCCCAGCTTCCAGAATGTCCTTGCCATCATCTCCCATCCTATTTCCCCTTTTTTGGAGCAGGAGACTGGGGTGGCCTATCCTCTTCTTTCAGTTGAGGCTTCCAGGGGGCGAGATGGGTCTAACATGTGCCTTTGCCTTTAGCCAGAAGACCACCATGATCAGATTTTCCAGAAAAGAACTTGCATGGTAGTTTTGAAAATGGGAGGGTGTTTGTGAGGCAGGATATCAGAAATACTTTATACACAGGGGACCTGGCACGTAACAGAAACACCAACAAAATGATTTTGCGTATAATCACATGGTGATTTCTCTCTTCTGAGAAACAGGCACACATCCTGAAGAGCCTGTGGCACAGACTCCTCATCTGTAAGGAAAGTGGAGACATGACCTTGAGATTTGGCTCAGAACTAGCAATGCCGGGGCCTTCGAGAGTCTGATGTTCCAGCACTCCAGTGCCTGTTGGTGTGGACGGAGGACACGGGGCCCCAACCATGGTCACACTCATCACTGAGAAGCTACAGAGCCAGAGCCTGGATGACCTCACCTGCAAGACTGAGGCTGGTCCGGTAAGCAGCTGCAGGTGGCACGAGGCTAGGTGCCCCTCCCCTGTGCTGTCACAGGGGAATGGCCACACTGGGAGGTGGAGGTGAGGGCTGAGTTCTCAGGGGCCTGGGAGGCACTGCCGGGCCAGGCATGGGGGTGTCTGGTGCACAAGTGGGCCCCAGAGCCTATCAGTGTCATCACAGCGGATTTTCAGCATCATTTAAAAAAAACAGACTTATTAAAAATGCCAGCGGGGCACAGTGGCTCACGCCTGTAATGCCAGCACTTTGGGAGGCTGAGCGCGCAAATCAGTTGAGGTCAGGAGTTTGTAAACAGCCTGGCCAACATGGTGAAACCCCATCTCTACTAAAAATACAAAAACTAGCCGGGCATGGTGGCGGGCGCCTGTAATCCCAGCTACTCGGGAGGCTGAGGCAGGAGAATGGTGTGAACCCGGGAGGCAGAGCTTGCAGAGAATCAAGATGGTGCCACTGCACTCCAGCCTGGGCAACACAGCGAGACTCCGTCTCAAAAAAAAAAAAAAATTGCCTTGAGTTGCTATTTAAAAAGATAGGGTTTTACTGAAAGGCTGACTTACACACAGAAGCTGGAGCCCCAAGCACAGGTGTGCCTGTTACCATCCAATCAAGCAGCAGCATGTGCCCCACTGGCCTCCCTGTCCCTGCCCTCCTAGCTCCACCTCCCAAGGGAGCCTCTGTCTTGGATTTGATCACCACATTAGCTTCCCACAGGCAGATTGATTTTCCTATAGTCATGGTGAAGTGAACTTTGGATGTGCCACCTTCAGGACCCCCCCCCCGCCCTGGTTAGAAGGCGTATCTAGAAGGAGGTGGCTGATGTCTAGCCTGGAGGGTCTTGCCAGGCCCTCAGAGCCAGCAGGGGTGCTTGGAACACCTGCCTGTCCTGGGCCAGGCTTGGCTGTGGCTCTGGAGGCGTGAGCACGCTGCATTTGTAGCCCCGTGCATGTTATGGAAATGAGAGGGAAAGCTGTGGGTCTCAGGCCTTTGGGCTGGACACGTGTGACCCATCTTCACCGCAGGGGGTTCCAGCGAGGGTCTGAGGGTCCAAGCTGAAGCCTCTCCTCCCAAGAGCTGGCGAGCATGGGCGTTGGGCTGTGGGAGGTGGCATGTGGCCTGAACCTTTGCAAGCACTGCTTATGGGGCCTGGCGCTCAGGGCCACTATGACTGAGGTGACCGTGGCAGTGCTGGCTGTGTCCTGTAGTCAGTACGTTTCTGGCTGTCAGCCCACGGGTAGGGGTGGCTGAGGCGGGGAAGGCAGTGCTTGCCTGATGTCTCAGTGCCTTGCTGGCTGCAGAACCATGTTCTTTCCAGACACCGTAGCCAGTTCCCATTTTTTCTTTTTTTTTTCTGGAGACACAGAGTCTTGCTTTGTCATCCACGCTGGAGTGCAGTGGCACCATCTCGGCTCACTGCAACCTCCGCTTCCCGGGTTCAAGTGATTCTTGTACCTCAGCCTCCCGAGTAGCTAGGGTTACAGGCACACGCCACCACACCCGGCTCAATTTTTTTTTTTTTTTTTTTTTGAGATGGAGTCTTGCTCTGTTGCCTAGGCTGGAGTGCAATGGCACAATCTTGGCTCACTGCAACCTCTGCTTCCCAGGTTCAAGCAATTCTCCTGCCTCAGCCTCCTGAGTAGCTGGGATTACAGGTGTGTGCCACCAGGCAAGGCTAATTTTTGTATTTTTAGTAGATGGGGTTTCACCATATTGGTCAGGCTGGTCTCGAGCTCCTGACCTCATAATCTGCCTGCCTTGGCCTCCCAAAGTGCTGGGATTACAGGTGTGAGCCACCGTGCCTGGCCTAAATTTTGTATTTTTAGTAGAGACGGAGTTTCACCATGTTGGCCATGTTGGCGAGGCTGGTCAGTGATCTGCCCACCTTAGCCTCCTGAAGTGTTGGAATTATAGGCGTGAGCCACCGCGCCTGGCCCCGTTTTTCCTTTTGATTAAATGGAGAAAACGTTTTTAAGGAATCTCTAACTAAGACCAAAGGATACAGAGTGGCACATGCCTGTCAGATGGCTGTGTGCCTCCAAGGACGTTTTTGGCCAGTGGATGTCAGCCAGGCATGGGCAGCTTTACAGGGAGGTGGCTACACAGCGTGCCTGCCGGGCCTGGGAGGTGTCTGGACAGATGTCCTGCTTTGGAGTGACCCACGGGCCCCCACATCCTCTGTGCTTTAGGTGGCTGCTCTTCACCTCTTGTTTTCAGCTTTGATTTTAGATACGGGGGTACATGTGCAGGTTTGCCCCTTGGGTGTATTGCACTCGGGTTGTGAGCATAGTACCCAGTAGGTAGCTCTTCAGCCCCTGCCTCCTTCCTCCCTCCCGTTCTTCATCTCTTTACGGAGCACTTGTCCGTTGACAAGAGAGAAGGCAGCGTGGGCAGTTCCTCGGTCAGCCTCAGCCTTGGGACAGGAGCCCTGGGGGCCCTGCAGGGTGAGTGGTCTTGAGGGTTCCATCACAGCCTGCTCCTGCTCCTGCTCCTGCTGACCCGGCTCTATTAGTGGCCAGCCAGGGCCACTGTTGAGTCTGCTGCTGTCAAAGATGGTTTTTCCCAGTGACTCCTGTTTTCTTAAAACACAGCCTGTGAATATGGCGGTGGTTTCTTTCTGAAATGGGAGGACAAACCTTTTTATCCCTAAGTGTAAACCTTTTTACTTTTATTTTATTTTTTTTGAGATGGAGTCTTTGCCCTGTTGCCCAGGCTGGAGTGCAGTGGAGTACTAGCATGTCATTGCAACCTCTGCTTCCAGGGCTCAAGCGATTCTCCCGCCTCAGCCTCCTGAGTAGCTGGGACTACAGGGGTGTGCCACCATGCCCAACCTATTTTTTAATTTTTAATTGTTTTTGAAAGGAATGGAGTCTTGCTCTGTCGCCCAGGCTGGAGTACAGTGGTGCAGTCTTGGCTCACTGCAAGCTCTGCCTCCCGGGTTCAAGCGATTCTCTTGCCTCAGCCTCCCGAGTAGCTGGAATTACAGGCACCGCCACCATGCCCAGTTAATTTTTTTTTTTTGTATTTTTAGTAGAGATGTGGTTTCACCATATTGGCCAGGCTGGTCTTGAACTCCTGACCTCAAGTGATCCACCCACCTCAGCCTCCCAAAGTGCTGGGATTACAGGCATGAGCCACCGTGCCCAGCCTTTATCAAGATTTTAAAATTTTATGTATTTATTTTCATTTTTTAGATGGAGTCTCGCTCTGTTGCCCAGGTTGGAATGCAGTGGTGCGATCTCGGCTCACTGCAACCCCTGCCTCCCAGGTTCAAGCGATTCCCCTGCCTCAGCCTCCTGAGTAGTTGGGATTATAGGCACATGCCACCAAGCCCAGCTAATTTTTGTATTTTTAGTAGAGACAGGGGTTTCACCATGTTGGTCAGGCTGGTCTCGAACTCCTGACCTCAGGTGATCCACCCCCGTCGGGCTCCCAAAGTGCTGGGATTACAGGCCTGAGCCACTGCGCCCGGCCGGGTTTTTTGATCTTTGTGATGAGGACAGTGTGATTGCCTGTGTTGAAGAAACCCAGTTACTCAGTGATAGATTGTTTACACGTGAGACCAGCTCTCCCACGTAACTTGTGAATATCTAAACACAAGTTACTTCTAACATTCACAGAAACAGGTCAGTATTTTAAATAGCCAATTCGTTGCATAAAAATAGAAATTGATGTTTTCAAAGGTGACTTAAAATAGTATTTTTGTGAAAAATAAGTGTAGACAATTGTACAGAGTAGAAACTCATACATTCATGTGTGAGTTTCTGTGTGGAAGTATGTCTTCATACATACTCACGGCCTGGCCTCAGTGAGCAAGCGAGGCGGGCGCCATTAGCTCAGGGCTCCTTGTTTGATCTGTACCTTCACCCAGTCCCCTCCTGCCATGATTTCGTAGCGCATTCTAGACATACTTTCTCTGCAAATATCTCATTCTATATCTCTAAAAGGTAAAGACTTTAAGACACATGACCAGAATGTCATTTTCACACCTAAAACCCTCAGAGATTCCTTAATATCTCTAAATATCCTGTCAGCGTTCAAACTTCCCCAATTGTCTGAGTTTAAGAATTTGTTCAGGGAGTCCAGATTCAGGGCGTCTCATGTCCTTTTTCCCCGTAGGGTCCCCCTTGGAGCTTGTGTGTTGAGGACGTAGCTGCTTGTCCTGGAATGTCCAGGCTGCATGCCCCGGCTGGTGCCTCAGTGCTCCCCTCCCATGTTTGTTCTGGAGTTGCTGGTTGGAGCCAGTGCTGTACTGCCTCCTATGGTTCCCTCTAGTTGCACATGGATTTTTAAACTGAAATTAAAGTTGATTTAGTGATTTAGCTTTTTTTTTTTTTTTTTTTTGAGATGGAGTCTCGCTCTGTCGCCCAGGCTGGAGTGCAGTGGCACAATCTCGGCTCACTGCAAGCTCCGCTTCCTGGGTTCATGCCATTCTGAGTAGCTGGGACTACAGGCGCCCACCACCACGCCCGGCAAATTTTTTTTTTTTTGTATTTTTAGTAGAGACGGCGTTTCACCATGTTAGCCAGGATGATCTCAATCTCCTGACCTCGTGATCTACCCGCCTCAGCGTCCCAAAGTGCTGGGATTATAGGTGTGAGCCACCGCGCCCAGCCTTTTTTTTTTTTTTTTTGAGACGGAGTCTCGCTCTGTCGCCCAGGCGGGAGTGCAGTGGCCGAATCTCAGCTCACTGCAAGCTCCGCCTCCCGGGTTTACGCCATTCTCCTGCCTCAGCCTCCCGAGTAGCTGGGACTACAGGCACCCGCCACCTCGCCCGGGTAGTTTTTTTTGTACTTTTTTAGTAGAGATGTGGTTTCACTGTGTTCGCCAGGATGGTCTCGATCTCCTGACCTCGTGATCCGCCCGTCTCGGCCTCCCAAAGTGCTGGGATTACAGGCTTGAGCCACCGTGCCCGGCCTTTTTTTTTTTTTTAAAGACAGGGTGTCACTAATTTGTGAACGTATTTGGTAGAGACGGGGTGTTGCTGT